CAAAATGTGCGATATCATAACAAATTTACCTTTTTTATAAAAAAAGATAAAAAAAGGCATGCGTGCTCCTCTCAGAAAAAACCGTTACATAAATTATTATACGCTCTTGTATATACTCCTTGAAGAAAAAAAAGAATTAAATGATAAAGGCTACGAGTCAATGCTGGATGTTAGAAAGATGCTAATAATTAAATTTTAATTTTACAATAATTTAAGTACAATGTTAAACATTTCGACCAACATTAGATTATCTTCAATGATATAACAATATATAAATAGAAAAGGTCACAAAATTACAAAAATATAATCTAATAATATACCGAATAATATAAATGTGTTCAAATATAATTTGTAACGATTCCTACAATTAAAATTGTCAATAATCTACTTCTCTTGTCATTCTTCCATATTTGTCCGCATGTGGTGATAAGAATACCTCCGTCCAACCAATGTTTCCTCGCAATCGCATAGTCAAGAGTTAAAAAATAATAAATTATATAAAAATTAAGTTGCATCAACGTGCTCTGGTGGATCGATTAAAAAAATTTTAATATAAAAAAGCTTGGCGTTGCGGACAAACTTGATTTAGTTTAGCGGCGTCAAATTTTTTATATTAAAATTTTTTAATTTCAATTAGATACTCTTATTTTCATGTATTTTTGTTTAAAGGTAATTACATAACATTATTGTTTCAACGAAATGTATTTTCTGTTTATATAATTGACGCAATTTAAAGATTTCATATATTTGTAAAAAGAATTATTATTGTATACTTTCAGTTTGGAAAATAGATTTAGAATAGATTTGGAATAAGAAGTCATTTTTTTTTCAAGGAATATACATACAAGAACGTATAATAATTTATGTAACGGTTTTTTCTGAGAGGAGCACGCACACTTGGCGCCTTTTTTATCTTTTTTTTAAAAAGGTAAATTTGTTATGATATATTTTTATGTTTTATCTATGTTATGCCTGTTTTCTACCAATGTAGATTATTAATTTAATCTCATTTCAATTTATTCTTTTTTTTTTATGTATTCTTAAAACTAGAAGAGATGAAGGATAAGTTAAATTGAAATTAAAATTGATTTACATCGATAAAAACGGTTATATCAATATGTTTCTTTACCCAGTATGTCTAAAGAAAGGAATATTTTCCAACGAAGTTAGAAGTTTAGAAAAATCGGAATAAAGATTAAAAATCTATTTAAAACTAGGATTTTTTTATTATTTTATACAATCTCAATGAAGAGACATTTTTTTTTATCAGACGTTCACTGCACGTCAACGATGTCATCAATGTTCGTTTCTGCGTCAAAAACAGATTATAGATTCTATCGTCTCTTATGAAACGCATCTCTGCATTGCCCTGCTATCATGGTGAAGCCTAACACGGTTATTTTATTTATAGATATACTCAGTGGTCAATGAGCTTCAATAATAAATAGTAATAAAATTTTCTTTCCATCAATTTCATATTTGACATAATCGGAAATTGAATTTAAAGTTATGTATAATTTTTACACTGTTAGAAATATTGTTAGAAGTACTTCCTAAATGAAGTTCATGATTATGAATGATTAAAAGTAAATGAAAATTACGTTACAGTAGATATTTAAAAATGTAAGGAACGTATATATTAAATTTCATAAATTTTCATGAAAAATACATTAAATTTCAACTACATGTACACAAATATACTTTTCAGTTATAAATACATTAAATTTAATGTAATGTCATGAAATTAAGTTCAAATTGTCTAACTTAAAAGTATATTAAATTTCATAAAATTTTTAACAGTGTAGGATTACAGTATGGGACCCTTTCAATTGTAATATGAATTAACAGCCCTCACTCAAATTTTCATCGAATTCTATACATACATGCTCTCTAACGAGTACAACATCCAATCATGATTCATAATCAATTCCTTCTGTCATCATTACCACTACTGCTAATTAGAATCGTCCTCGAAAAACCCTTCCCGTGTCCACAATTCATGGAACTTGACAATGACTTTCACTTTGATTCAGCAATAAACGAAGTGCGTTTTTGAGAATCATGGAGATGGGCATAGAAATGTGTAATTCCGATTAGGCGAACATTTGACAGAATCATTTTGATCGTTTTTTAAATAAATTAAAAAAGCTCGTGCAAAGCTAATTCTTTTATTCGAATAATTTCATAAAAGCTTAAATTAATTCTATTGGAATTAATTTAAGCTTTTCTTTCGTTAAGATTTATTTTATGTTAGATTATACTATAATACTATAATTATACTATAATATAAATGGCCATGTGATTATAATGAAGAAAATATTAATTTTTGAATAAAATAAATAATAATTTTTTTTTTTAAATTAAAATATAAATAAAATTTAATTTACCTATAGTTATATTTATAACCTACAGATGTTCCTGTGACAACAATTATATTTCTTATGTTCTTCCAATTGAATTTTTTATGTACATTTTCAATTGAAACTAATTCTAATTTCTATGCAGATTCTTCGTCAATGATTAGAAATAAATTCAGTTCAGTTATTATTGTTAATTTCTATGTAATGGAAATTTAAATTAATATTCTATATTTTATTTGTTCTTTATTTTCATCTTTTGCTTTTAATCGCCAGGCTCTTTTAAAATGCAGAAAACTTCTTTGAAGAAGAGTTAGCTTTCTATCAATTATATCGAAATTCTAAGAATTGTCAACTTTACAAAGGTGATAAATTTCTATTTAATTATCATTACTATAAATTTTTGCATAGAAATTTTCTCATCGCAGGCCACAAATATTAGCGTCTTCTCGAGAAAGAATAATAAAAATAAAGAGAAAAAAATCCTTTTACGTGTCACTAAATGTGCAACCGATGATTCGTGGCAAATGCAAGCTGTGCATATGCATGTGATCTCGTTATATAAAATCAAATGTGTTATCTGATCGACGAGCGTGTCACGAAGATTAATCCGATCGTTTCGTTACAGATTGTTCTCATTGGACTGACTAAGAATTTTAGAATACTACATTTTTTGTCTGAGAGGAAGAGATATTCTTTATTCACGACCCTAAGATCATTACGTATATAAAAAAATGCATATAAAAAAAGTGTATAGGAGATCATCAAATAGATATATTCAGCTATGGCTAGCAATGTGAAATGCAGCCATCAACTGACAAATTGGAGCTTTGATCTATTTCTTCTTTAAGTTACATTACTCAGCAGATAAATTTTCGACATTCATCCGATCGTCCTCATTGTTTTCCAACCTAGCAATCTTTCCGACACCCTGACTTATTATGACCTACATTCAACGTGTCCTCATTCGGCCCGATGTCTTCTATTCGACACCATAAAAGGAGTTATCAGCTGTTTCCGATGAAGAATATAAATTTACCATATATTTCTTTTTTAGAAATCGATTCTGTATTATAATGCGTCATCTCTTGAAAATTCAATAAAAGCATTCACCTTTGTATAGGAATCCTACTTAGTTCGCATAATAAGATTTATATGTAATTTTTTTAATACAAATTCTGTGTTGTCTGCCTTTTTGAACAGCAATTTTTGCCATTCTGCATGTAAGTACATAAACAACTGATTCGATCTTTAGACTCCTATAAGCAGATTTTGTTATTGCCAAGAAATTGGCAGTGCCACATTCCTTGACTTGATTGTAGTAAAGTACTGTCTGTTTTTCTAGATTGCAGCGCGATGTATAGTGTAAGACAATTTAGTCAGCCCGTAACTCGGTCAACTAAAATCAGAGTTTGTTTTAATTAAAGGAATTAAATCAATTAATTTGATTAAATTAATTGATTTAATTCCTTTAATTGATTTAATTCCTGTCTTGTGGTAACGATTGTATCCGACAAAAAGGAACTAATAATCACACGACATGTTTCTGTTTCTCTTGCAGGTATGATCACTCTGGTCGACGGCGCTCCGACTTTCATGGACCCTCTCAAGGAATGGAAGATAATAGTAACGCATTATGGAGGATTGGCCGGTCTCGCTCTGATCGGACTTATCCTGGCAGCTATTCTTCCCTGCGCCGGTCTCTTTTTCTGTTGTTGCAGATGCGCGGGACATTGCGGTGCCCGAAGTCAACCTTTCGATAAAAAGCACGATCATTGCAGAAAAATTATGCTCAGCATCATGTTAATCGTTGTCGCTACTATTATTCTGTAAGTTACGTTTTTATAAATACCACGTTTAATGGTATACATATCTCTCCGTATGTTTTAAAAAATTATGTTCCTGGTAAATATTGGTCATTAAACAAGACAAGATTTAAAGGGCATTTGCTTACATTAAAGAAATATTGCGGTAAATGCCGTGATGAAATATAAAAATTATTTGAATGAATTTTTGGTGAGATCGAAAATTCTGGAATTGATTAATGCATTATCTTTGCATGATTACTTAAGTAGATTACTTAAGAAGATTACTAAATACGATTTGTATAATTTAATATTTTATGATTATTTATATCAAGATTATATTTGTACAAGATGTAAATAAAATTTCGAGTCTTTTCCCAGCAAATATAAATACTATGTAACGTGTGAGATAGTTTCGTTCAAATTATGTCCTTTGATCAATCCACGACGCCACGATATGGCTCGAGATGCGCGATAGGATTGATTTAAGTCGATCACACAGTGTACCATACACGAGGTATAATTTCTTGCATGATGGGTTTATATGTTGCTGTGCCTGCTCTAATACATGTTAAACATCTCCATACATTGAACGAAACATACTCTTGATTTCTGTGTTTGATATGAATTATTACATTATTTTCAGAATTATATAAGTTACACAAAAAAAATAAGTTACTTTTTTTTAGTAACGAATGAGTAACGTAGTTACTTTTCCTAGTGAGTAACGATAACTAAGTCAATGTTCAGTAACAAGTAACGAAATTTTACGTTACTTTTTTCATTATTCTGTTGATATATATTCATTCATAGTTTTCATAGTTAGGTCTTATATAATTATTTAAGGTATTTAAGCTTCCTTAAATTTATCTTCAGCTTTACGAATTATTTTATTGGCTACTGAGCATCTGAGGATAAATTTAAGGAAGCCTTAAATATAAGGTCTGTGACTATCAATATGGACAATAGAGTTACTTTAATAAGACTAAAAGATTATATTATTTAAATTTAGAAGATATCAGTATGTTAAATGAGCATTTTCTTTTGAAAAAATTTTTTCAATCAAATATAATATCAGTCTATCAAGTAATGCATCGGTAGAAAAACTTTTTAATATTAGTGGACTCATTTTGACGAATTTTCGAATCAGTCTGTTTAACAGACGGATATTTTGAAAAACAATTATTATTAAACAAAAAGGTTCAGCGATATAAATTAATTAGATATAATTTAAAGTTAAAAAATATGTGTTTACATAAATTACGATATGTATCAAAACCGATATGTACCAAATAAAAAATTAAATAAAGAACTAATAATATGAAAAACAAAATAAAAGTATGAATTAAAAAACGATTATTCTTATATAGTTATAATTTAAATAAATGTAATTGGAAAAGTTTTTGGAAAAATAACGGAAAAAGTAATGATTTTTTCATTACTTTTAAATAACGATAACGCGTTACTTTTAGAATCGGTAACAAGTAACGAATAACAAAGTATTTTTTACTGCAAGTAACGGTTGCAGTAATATATTACTAAAAACATTAACAACTCTGATTATTTCATAGTTTCCTTGCACGCGCAATCAAAACGTTAAGAAACAATATTAAAATATTGAATAAAAAAAAAATATCTTATTCGATCGATACATATAAGAACACAACCGTTATTATAACGGTTTATAAGGCTAATGTCTTTAACGGTCTTAGCTGGATCTTAAATAAGTATATTTAAGTAGGTACTTATTTAATTCTGTGTGAATTTATATACTACGTATGTAATCCTTTAAATTGCACGCGGAAATGATTTTTCGATCTTGAAACGTAAACTCTACTAAATTACTCGTAATATTATTAATTCGTAATATTATTGCGTAATATTACGAATTAAATTGACTATACTCAGAAAAAAAGTCATCAATAAAAGATAACTATAAATTTGTGTGTAGCGTCTCAACTATATATATAGGATGTCCCATTTTAATGTCCCATCCCAAATAACTTTTTTATTTTTGATCTTAGGAAAAAATGTTTCAGACAAAAGTTGTATGATTTTGAGGGGGACAAAAATGGTGTCATAAGTGACCTTGAATAGTTGCTTGAAAGTCATGTGAAGATTATCTTCAATTTCTTAAATGGAACTACTTTTTATTACATATTTTTATTACATATTTTGTAGATCATTTCGAGAGCTTTCCAAAACACTATAATTAAGTTCATTTTCATTTTCTTTTTAAGTTATATTAAGGCTTGCAAGTTATAGAACCGCCGGCATTAGCATTACCCAAGATGTCCGATAGATGCGACGGTTAAAATCTCTTTAATGTTGTTCAGGATCATGGATAACATTTGTCAAGTTCAAGGCCATTGAAGGTTGTACCTCTATTTCAATTTTTACGTAGAAATGTAGTTTTTAGTGCAAAAATGAAAATAAGAGAAATGAAAATAATCCAATGGACTTGATCTTGATAATGGCAATGCCAATGCTGATCCGCTTAGATTAGATAGATCAAAAGCTATTTACTATCGAAAAAACGAATCGTACATTTCTTCTCTGGTCGACGTTAATAATAATAACAAAACAAAATATCAAAGATTCAGATTTTGCATAATAGTATTTCCGCAATATGTAATAGGGCACATAGAGAAAAAACAAAAACACTTTCATTATATACTCCGAGCGGATACATCGATTGAACACACTAAAACCTGATCGGTTCAGTCCTTATTGAGACTAATAATCTCGATCTCTCATTGTCGGCTTGCGTAAAGTTGTCATGGCAGTGTCATTGTGCTTGGCTTAGCGCCAATTAGACATTACCGTGTCTCTAGATATATCATCTCCGAGAACATCCCTCCTGCTAAGAGTCGAATAAAAAATAGTTTCGAATTTCACAATAAACTGGAATGACAATCGACAACAGAGATTATGGTACTAAAAATTCATTTTTACGTAAAAATGAAAATATGAGGTACAATCTCCATTGATCTTTGATAAATGCTATTCAGAACCCGTCGGTCGAACATCTTGGGTAATGCTAATGCCGGCGGTGCTGTAACTTGCAAACTTAATATAACTTGAAAAGTACTTAATGGAAATGAATTTATAATGTTTTAGAAAGCTTTTGAGACAATCTACCATATAAGAATGCATGTGTGTGTGTGTATATATATATATATATATA